TGCATGAACGAATGTCAAATGGCTACTTGCTTATTGCAACTAGCGGAGGACTGAACCAACAAAGAACTGGGGTAAGTAGGACATAAACTTCATGATATGCTAAATAATAATCATAAGAGGTTTTTCTCTTATCTAAGTGGCTCTGATTCAGTTGTTATCCTGTGATGCTATATTTATGTTTGGTGTGTACAGAGTTCGTGTTGTTACTTTGTGGTACCGCCCTCCGGAGCTTTTGATGGGTTCTACTGATTATGGTCTAGTTGTGGATATCTGGAGTGTTGGCTGCGTGTTTGCGGAGCTACTTGTTGGGAAGCCTATACTTCAGGGGAGAACTGAGGTAGGAACCTTTCCGAATTCATTCCCTTATCATGATGAATATTAGTGTAGCGAAGTTTATTAGTTGTTATTAGAGAAAAATGGCAAACCTTATGATCATCCTGATTGTAGAGTGGCATGGACATTTGAGTTTCTTTGTTAAGCTCTTCAATTATACTATTAGGATTTAATTAGATTATTTTTTTATGATTTTTTTCATTTCCATGTGCTCCAACCTCCGTTGGTATTGTGTTAAAAATAAAGATTTGAATACAAATCCTGTTATCATGCTTTATTTGTGTCATAGAATCCTATGTCTTATATAATTTCCAAAAAAAAAAGGAGATATGCCTTATATAAACATGATTACAGTAGTAGATTAAAGATATAAAATAATTTGAATCAGCTAAAAGTTAGGTTATAATTTTAATTAATTTAATATCAACCGTTATGATTTACTAATCAAATCATATTCAAAGCCAATTAATGCCGTTGTTATAGTTTGCTAATCATGATCCTATTGGATGTTAATTAATGTCAACCGTTACAACTAATGTCTAAACAAATCCTATTTCAACAGTTAATATCATGATCCTATTGTATTTAAATTATCTCTTCTTTGTACATTTCTTTTATTTTGAATTTAAATTATCTTGTAACAGATTCCTGTGTTTCCCCTGATCACTTGATTAGGTTTACCTTCTCCACACGCATTTCTTAGAATTTTTACCTCTGTTGTTTGTTTGATGTGGATATTGGATTGGTCTTGAAATAGAGTGAAGTGTAAAATTATTTTACTTATAATTTTTTTTTTCTATTGCAGATCCTTCATGACAAACAAATAGTGCATATTTTGGTGGCTAGCGCAAGTGTTAAGACATCAGACTTTAGTTAGCATTTTTCTTTTGTTTCATGTATTTTTTTTAGACTTCATTTGAATTTAAGTTATCTTGTTAATACATATTAAGTTTACACTTTGAATATTATTATAATAATTTTCAGAGAATATTTAATTGTTAGAAGCATTTTTCATATTTAGGAAAATTTTCTTTTAATTAATATTTAGAATTTTTTTTCATTTTGATTATATGTAATTGTAGTATATTTAAATGTTTTTTAAAAACTAATAGTTGTTTTGTTGCTTATTTTTTTAATTATTAAGCAAAAGCTCAACGGTGATCTTTAATGGCTGTCAAATATTTTGTCCAAAGAAAAAGTTTAATGGCTGCTTATTTCGATGGTTGAGAAAATCGACTCCAAATCACGCATATGGATTTAGTGGCTCCATATTCGTAGGCAATTTTCAAAATGACGTCAATATTTATGCTAGCAGTTTAAAATGCTATCAATATTTGTTGAATTAAAATCCATATGAATTTAATATTTTTTTAAAAATTGAAAATATTATTTTTGACGGAATTCTATGTACATTCCGTTGTAAACGATTAAGAATTTTCAACGGAATTTAATTCCGTTGAAATTTTCGACGGAGTTATAGATAAATTCCATTGCAAACTGTTATAGAACCGTTGGAAACTGAAATGGAACTTTTCGACAGAATTATTTTCCGTTGAAAGTATAGATGGAATATTAGATAAATTTCGTTGAATTTTACAACGGAATTTTTTCACGGAGATTTTTTCTGTTGCAAGTATCGATGGAATTATAGTTAAATTCCGTCGAAAATTGTGACGGAATTTTTCAACGAAAATTAATTTCGTCAAAAATTTCAACGAAATTGTTGTTAATTTCTGTTGCAAATTAAGACAGAATTTTTTACAGATATATATTCCGTTGAAATTTCGACGGAATTTATTATTTTAATATTATTTCATGACTTTATTTATTGACGAAAAAGTAAGGCTTCCAACGGAATACATTCCGTTGAAGTTTTCAATGGAAAAAAAAATTTCGTTGCCTTGCAACGAAGGATTATCCAACAGTAGAATTCCGTCGAAAATTCTGTCAAAAAATGATTTTTCAACGGAATTTTCATAATTTCCAACGGAAAAATTCCGTTGAAAATTGAGCTTTTTTTAGTAGTGGTTTAGGAAGCTTAAAAAAAATAAAATTAAAATTAAATAATAGAAAAAAGGGAGGAATGGATTTTGAGGACTTTTTATGTATGTGTATTGCTAGGGATGAAAAGCATAAATTGGAGTTGGAGTCAAAGAGGGAGGGAAGAGGAAAGAAAAAAAAATGAGTGGACCAGTAAATAAAATGTGTAAAATACAACAAAAATAATAATAATTTGTCTATGTGTAATTTTGAAGTCTTGATTTGCATGAGCAAATTTTTTTTTTTTGAGATATTGGTTCATGACAAATGCATGATGTAATATTGTGGTGTTATTGATAATTTATTCCTTGAAATTTAGAAATGTTAATTGCATGTATACAACTCACACATCTTGTATGATCATCTATGAAGCACCGACACTTCAAAATTCCTGACGTGTCGTGTCTGACACTTCCTGACACTCATCGACACTCCGACACTTCCCGACACTTCAATACTCGTTGCAAATACTCAAAAATGGTTTAAAGGTTACGTTGTGTTGCATTTTGAATTCCAACTATTAGATTCGTTAGATTACGATTACGATTTTATTGAGTTTAATATAAACATTTGGAATATATGATGTTTCTTTACAAAATTGATGCGTATTATAAGTTTAACTTTATTTTTTTGTTAAATTATTGAATACTAAATATAATATACACTACATAAATTAAAAATATTATATAATATCAAAACGTGTCCTAACGTGTCAAAATTTAACATTTTTTAGAATTAATGTGTCGGAGTGTCGTGTCGTATCTCGTGTCCTGTGTCGGTGTCGGTGCAACATAGATGATCATATCAGTGTTTTAAAACTCCACTCCGTCCCCCGGGTTGACTCAGGTCAACCCCGACCCCTCCTCTCTGAGGGTTGGGGTCACAAGTTGGACCCTCTATGCACATCGACCCCTCGGTTGAACCTGTAATCCCGTGACCTCTGACCTCGACCGAGTCGATGATCGGGCCGGGTTTTTAAACACCGGATCATATGCTATTGTTCTTATAATTAAAGAAAGTTTAATATGTATTTAGGTAAAACAATTTTAATTTTATATATTAAAAGGTAAAAGAAAATTTCAAATTTTAAGATGGGAAAATGCTACATATAATTGACCAAATCTCTGTGACACACAAGGGAAGAGGGAGCGGGGTGCTAGGGTGGGTGGCTGCCCCCTTACCCCGATTTACTTCGACATACCTTCTATATATTTATTTCGGCATATATTTTTTGTATACTGGCCTAATAGCAGGATTATCAAATTTACTTCTGCAATAAAGTCCTAATCCAATTTACTTTAGCATACTTTCTTTTTGTATATTTGATTTTTTGACCCCGAAAAAATCCTAGCTCCACCATTAATGACACATGTATAAACTAATAACAAATAACTAAACTGGGGAGTGAACGCTGCCACCAAATAGCTCTCAGCCATAAATTCAAATTTATCTTTACATATAAGGTTAGATTAACTTTTGCTTCTCTGAGGAGATATAAAATCTTTGAGTCTAGATGCTTACATGAAGAAAAAATGAAAAGATGAGGAGATTGGATTTGGTTGAAGTGATTTGATAATTGCGAAGAGATTTATCATATGTATGCATAGCCCAAATTGTAGAGATGTGATGTTTGATACAAATTTGATGTATATAAAATAATATTTATCGGCAATAAAGTTACCTTCAAACCGGTTCGCCCAACAATATGCATATGTCACTATGTCAGTTTGACCGGTTAACTTGATACCAAATTGACACCGATTTTAAATTATTTTATGTAAAATGTTTACGGATAGCAAGTGTTGGGAATCAAACATTATCACTAAATTAATTTTTTTTATACATTCATTAAATTAATTCTATTTGTTAGTTATACTGTTTTTAATTTTATATTTATTATATATTATTATATAAATTTAATTTAACCAATTCAAAGAAGTGACTCATTCTATTATGATATTGCCTCTGAATTTGAAGCAAAGGTCAATCCATTCCTAGAATCATATACACTTATATTATCTTGACTAAAAATCCTTATAAAAACCCTCCCCAACTAGCAATATCCATTTTTTTTTTTTAATGTTAATCAGTCTACTTGTTGTTTTTTTTAAAGAATTGGTCAAATTTTTCATATGAATCAAATTTAGTGAAATATATATTTTGAGCCATATTATTTTCATTGATTTTACCTCTCTATTTTTGTGTTACTAATCTAGACCACCTGCTATGAGATAAATGATATTGATAATTACCTATTAACCAATTTACCCATTGATTGATTACAGAATCAGGAGGATTTTTATGTCTTAATTTGGAATGAAATATTCCCCGTGCTCCAAAAAAAGAATCCCTTATTTCATTCTTAAGAAAAAAAGATTTTCCATGATATTCAAAAACAGATCTTAACTTACACTTATATACATTAATAATTTTGGTTTGTGATAATTTATAAAATACATAGAAGCTAAACAAAAAAATGGATTATAGGAATAATTAGGGTATTTCATAATACATGTTTCATGAGACAATTTGGTCTCATACACACACAAAAAATTGATAGAACTCACTTTTTTCTTTCTCTTTCTTTTTTAGTGAATCTCATTTACTTTTTTGTGTGTTGCATGAGACGAGAGACATGAACCCTACATTAAGATTTGATATTCCGTAATTAACATTTGGAAACAGAATAAAGAAAATAATTTACAGTTATGTGACTGGGTGAGAGGAGGAGGAGGAGGAGAGAAAACAAAAAGAAATGCTATGTTATCCTAAAGCTGAACTTTGCCTAAACAAGTGTCCAATCACTTTCCAAAGAGGATGGTTTCTCAGCAGTGGATAGGTTTCCATGCTTAGGAGGTTTCTTTGAAAATAAAGATGACTTGCTGTCAAAGAAACTTGAAAAAGATTGTCCAATTGGCTTTTCTTCATTGTTTATCTGATCATGTCTGATAGGCCTTGTCATGAGTCTATCTTTGCCACCAAAGATATGGCTGAGCTTCTTAAACCGGCGTTTTGATTCACCATTATTCATAGTTGATTCTTCTGTATGCTTCATCATCTTCAGTGCCTCCTCAGGATTCAGCAACATTGTCTCCACTGTTTCATAAACCTACAAAAGGACATGACCATTGATATATAGTTACAAATGAAAATTATCAAGACCAGTATCATTATCACTCTAAATTTACTAGGAACTATTTTTCATCCCTAAGTGCACACAAGTTGACTTAACTAGCACAATGAACCCAAACATCAAAAGGAGTAAATTAAATAGTCCAAGAGGGTAGGGTTGGTTGAAGTACAAAGTTTCACAAAATTTGATTAGTCCAAAGTGTTTCTCTATAGTTAAATGGCTCTTCAAATAGATGGATGAAGTGGTATTGGAGTTCACTGGTTATATTTTGACCATTTAATTAAGGTGAGAATCAATACTAGAGATGCCTCAAAAGGATTTTGGGAGTTACTTTACAAATTAGTCACTTTAGTCTACTAGTACCCACCTGAACAAGTTCATCAATTTTCTCACTGAAATTGTTGCTTTGACAAGTGGCAACTACATACTCCTTGCAGTCATTGAACATCTTTGAGAAGTCAATGTTACCAGACAGCATAGGTTCAGCAATTGCAAATCCTAAACCAAGCTGTGTAAGACAAAAGATTATGATTAGAAAGGCATAAATAGCATAAGAAGCTGGCCACGATATCAGTGCATTGAAAGATCAATTAGGGAGATGATGACAGATTACAATTATTTATCATTTGAACATAACAAAAGCAACTATAGTGAGATAAAAAGAAAAAAGAGAGAGAACTTACTATAGAAACAAAGAGCTGTCCAAAAAGCTCAGAAGGATGGATGTCCTCAAATGCATCAAGGATGCCCTCCCTATATTTGAATGTAAAATGCCATTCAAGTGAGATGGCTTTAAGGGGAAAATCAAAGTTTATACCAAAAATGGTTATTTAGACTTACACTGCCAAATCCTCATCAAACAGAGGTGCCTGTTTAACAGCTGGTACCGGTTTAGATGTTTCCCAGAATTCACGCCACAAATTACCTACCATTAACATGTAATGGAATTCAGAGAAGTTTTCTGATATGATATCGAAAGAACATAAAGCAGCCCTAACAGTCTATTCTACATGTTTCTTACAAAATGTGTGTCATGATGAAACTGTGGCAACAGTCAGAATTCACTTATCTGGATATGCTTTACCAGATATATGATATTCAATTTAGGCATTAGATATCTTTGTATAAATTCCATAAAGATTGAGACATAAGATGTCAACACTTTCAACTCAATGGCTTACACAAGAAAGTGAGGAATATAAATCCTAAAGACTTATGCAAACGTCAAATGATTGACAATGAGATTATTAATATTCTAATTCTACCGTCAATCACGCTGAAAACAAAACTTAGTTACAATTTACATAACAAACTTCAGTAGGAACATTAAATATTAACTATCCCTGGTATACTCATGGATAGCACAGGTGACCATATGACTTAAATCACTGACTAAATCCAAACAAAGAAACTTTGGGAAATCATTTCGAATTATCCAGGAATAGAAACAAAGGGTTAAAGAAATAATGCATAAATATAAAACAAACTTAAACAGACAGAAAATGTCACAATCCATGTAAATCTAATAATAATTGTACAAAATGCGACACATCAAACAATTTTCTAAAATTATAAAAGATGCTATAACAGCTTGTGAACCTTAGACATCATGTTATGAAGGTGAAAAGAAATTCAAGAAGAGAAACTAGCGAACCAAAGAAGATGAACAGGATTTCATAGGCCTAGAGTAGTTTGAGAAAACATGGAAAATAAGACCCATTTTTTCCATTTACGTAAGGAGTTTTTATATAAGAGTTAGGCAGTGGATTGAGCATATTTCAGTTGAATATGCAAATGTACAACCGTATTTTTTCCATTTACGTAAGGAGTATTTATATAATAAATATGCTTCAATAAATCCTTCCATAAGAGAGTGATTAGATTTTTCTTTTTCTATATTCTCTTTCGCTAGAGTAGACTTGCCAAGTTGGGCATTTTAAACCACAAAAGTTCCCTCACTAGCCTGCATTAAACAGTTTTTAACATATGTAATGTGGATACCATGCATGTCTTCCACACACCTCAGCAAACTATAGCCTATCTGGCAATCAACATCGATAAACATATAAATGATTCGTATCATTGATAAGCATATCGCAAAAGTTCTTCCACAACTGGTTATGAGATTCAGTGAATAAAATAATTTTTGTTTCAAGCCAAAATAAATCCAAATTTTAAGAGATGTAGATGACCCATTAACATACATACTGACCACAAAATTATGTTGGATTAAGTAACAATAATCATGGCCAAGGTTGTTAGTATACCTTCTTTTCGCATTCGCCGACTTAGTTGACCTCTAACAGACAATGACTCACCACCATCCAAAAAATCACTGTCCTCAGTACTTGCCTCACTTTCAATCCAATCGGGAGGAGAGTGCCATCTCACAAAATCATCCAAAATACAACCAGGATTTGCAGCCTAAAACATGATCATAAACAGAACTAACTCAGATAGAAAATCACTACAGTAGGCACATTCCAAAAGCATTAAGAATATCAATAAGAAAAATTGTATTCAAGGTAGAGTCTGACCTTGAAAGCTTGCATATCAGAGAGGAGTTGAGAGCACCCAGCACCAACACTGACCATAGAAGGTAAATAATTATCAAGAAATGCCTACCTGATAGTAACTACAACCTACTAGATAATAGATGTAAATATGCAGTGAAATGAAGCTGACATTGCATACTAGACAAGGTAGATAGAGATACATAATCATCAATGTATTACAAAAAAATTTTTTTTTTTTTTTTTTTTTTTAGTACAATACAATTTTTTCTGCATGCAATGTCATTGAGAATTATAAAAAGAGAAAAAGAGAATTATAAAAAGAAAAAAGAGAAAAAGATCAAAGTAGACATCTACAACATTCAAACCTAAGGAATCTTCATTTTTACTGCATGCAAAATCAGGCCAACATTTAACTAACATACTTTCACTGCACACTATGATCATCTCACGTGTCTAATGTCATTGAATCCAATATTTTTAATAGAAGAAATTTTGTTAAAAAGAGAAAGCTCTTTATTACCACCCGGACAATCAAGAACTATTCAATTACATTAAAGGCAAAAGGAAGAAAAAACAAGCTATACATCAAAATGATAAGCTTTTCAATCTTTCTGAAGTTACATAAATGAGATCTATATAGAAAGTGAAAACCCTAATAGATAAAAACAGAACAACTAAAATAAATTCTCCCTCGCAAAAGGTAGAAAGATATTTGTTTTCCGTACATTTAATCCACTTTGAAAACAAACTAGTCGCTCCAAACTAACACAGTCACGGATAATTATTCATATCAACATAAGATCATCACTTGCCGATAAAAGAGCACATCATGCTCTTAATAGGGAAGTATAAACTCAAAATTCATTTTGAGCTACGTCTTATCTTGGAATTCACATTAAAGGGAAGCATGACAACAACACTGGAATATTAATCTAAGAATAGCCTTATGGCTCGATAAAAAAAGAAAATGATAAAAAACAGTTTAGAAAACAAAGCTACAGAATCTTCATGAACTATTTTTTTAATAGACCCAGAGAATGTCAATCCCAATCAACCACTGTCTCCAACACAAATAGAAATTTTAGCCAATAGATAATAACTGGAGAACATGTTAAGATATGGGTCAATAGGTCAAAGGTTTAGATCTTGACAGAAAATTACGAAAGGCATACATTAATACGTTTAACAAGCAGTGAAAGAGCCCCACAAGCAACATGACACTGACAACTTAATTAAAAGTTCACACCTTTGAGTTTGAGATAAAAAAGAGACAACTGGGATTTATTCAAAATACACATACACCCACACATAAGCAAAATGGGAAAATGGATTTAGATTTTAAGATAACTGACTGGGTCAGATGTATCTCAGTTAGTTACAAACCTCCCTGTCCGCAGCACAAACTCCTCCGTCTCTTTGATCAGATCTTCCGTAAGCAAGGGTCCCTCCTACATGAAATGGCCACAAATATCAAGTATTGGAGTAAGTTTAAGTGGTAATTATATAGTACAAGTATCTATCAAACCTGGGTGACAGGAGAGTACACAGGCTCGCCAGTTTCCAATAATGTAAGATCTCCACACGGGCAATGAGCACCAAGTCGAAGAACAAGCTCTCCAGTACTTAATCTAGCATACAATAAAGGGCTTGCAGTATTTCTGTCAGTATTGTTTGCTGATTCTAAAGTATTTGGATTGGCTTCCATCATCATAGATTCTAGAGATTCGGTGGCAATAACATGGCGCCTTTTTCTAGAGATGCAACAATTAATTACTTGAAATTGCTGATACAGAAGACATGACTTCAGATCCGGAATGTCATCTGGGGGGACTCCAGGTAAATGTTTTTCTTCAGACCAAAGTTTTCTCAGCTGTATAAGGAAAAAAATTCAAAACACTCTTTTTCAGCTTGTAATTAAGAAAGAAAAAAAATTATAAAGCAGAAGTTCATATAGGATTTCTTTCTTTTCTTTTCATGGACAAGTAGATGATAAATTAAAAATTTAAGTAAAAAACTTGATAATAAAGAGGTTTTTAAGGAATCTCAAAGTTTTCAATAATACAGCATATGAATACTTAGCTGCTTTTCTTTTCTTTTTTTTGGATCTTTTTCTAATTATTTTCGCAAAAGGGAAATGGCGGCAATAGTTGGAAGAAAATGTTATTAGACCAAAGTCACAACCATATAACAACAAGGAAAATATCCCTACCCCAAAAAAAGAAAAAGGAAAAAAGCCCAAACTTCTAAACATAACAACTAAAAAGGATCAAAACAAAGAGAAAAACTATATTTCTCTTTCTCAATACGACATCATGTCATCTTGTATATTTATTTATTGTGACCAAATTATACGATGTTGGATGAAAATATTAAACTGATTAAGATAATACATTCCATCAATAACTTCATAAGGCATCAAACAAGCAGTTGCTTAAGCAAAAGACAATAGCCTATATATTTTATAAAGTATAAATTAGAAAATGATCAAGAGCATAAATCAAATCTGAAATTCTAGGTTCTTAATAAAATGATTAAATAAAAAATAGAAATTCTTATTGAGTTAAACATACTTCAGCAACAACCCTGCACCAAAAAAGAGCCATTTTTCGAAGGGTCTTGAAGTTTCCAATTACTTCAGCCAGCTTAACAACTAGGCTTTCAGGAGGAGCACCATGAATATCACTTAGTAAAGATTTTATGGCTGTTTCCTCTGGATTTGAGTTGATCTTCCTTCTAAGGAACTCTTCCTCTGCAAATATCTTGTAAATATTACAATGGATGCGACAGAACAAAGCGCCCAAAAAAAATGCATAAACACAAAAAGGTAAAGTGATGTAATTATACCAAAATTTATATACCTGGATCAAACAGAGATTTAATCAAATGCACAACTTTCTCATCGTTACATAACTCAGAGGTTAGTTTGTCCTCCTTTTCACGCAACACTAAAGCCTTCACTGCAGAGAGATTTAAGCCTGCCCTCTCTCTGGCAGGTGAAGAACCTCCTGATGATGCTACAAAATCTTTCATTGAATTTGTTTTCCTTCCAGCCCTAGTCAAAAGGCCCAAATATTTAAGAGGCTAGTTGTATCATTATTTGTTAGGTTGAAAATCTAGCTATATACTTACAAATAGAATTCAACAACAAAGAATCTTTAAGCATATCATGGAAAAGGCAGGAAAAAGGAGAGCATAACTTACTCAAAAGCTATAGCCAATTGCTTTAGGACAGACGATGGAGGAATGGGGTCTGCGGTAGCAGCAGTTAACCCTTCAACCGAGGGAATTGCTTCTGAAGCCTAAATTAAAGTTTTTCATTATGCATCGTTAAAGCAATCTATTTATATACTTGAATCAGAAAATCACTGAAAAAAACATCAATAGTATGTTCAATTTACTGGAAAGAGTTCTCAGGCAGTTAACCACAAGATTAAAAAAAAGCATGCATTACTAACTCATCACAAGCATACTATGCATTGAATAGTATTCCTATCTTATGAGTCATGATAGTGACACAGTCTGACAGACACTAAGTTGAAAACAAAATGTTCATAGTTGGCATACATTATCAGATTTTCCTAATATCCTAGGACAACTGCCTGGTTAAAGTTTAGAAACTTCAATCTTCTCTGCATAATTGGAAGATAAAATCCTTGAATTAAAATGTTCCAGATCTTCTTACCTTGGCGTCAAGTTCATTTTTCACATTCAGGATGCACAAATTTTCATCATAAAATGGAACACCAGCCATGTCTGTATCTCTAACTTTATTAGTATCTTCGACTTCTTTTCTCCCTTTCCGAATGTTCTTAATTCTATCTTGCCAATCCTGCTTTATTCCTATATGTGGAGGTCTCCACTTTATATGCTTCAGTTCATTGAGAAGCTGCATCATTCCATTACAAAAATCAATTATGTAAGTAATTACAACTCATTACAGGACAAATGCTGCCTAATAAGTACCTAAACATAATACAAACAATAAGTGATCTTGCACTTGTCATCTTAAGGCAAGAGACATTTCGGACTATAAATTTTTCACTTTGTAAAGCTGTGAACCAAGTGAATCGGACGATTACAAAAAACAATCTCACAATTAATCTTGGACAAAATTGGGAACTCTTCATGCTTTGTGTATACACTCAATTACTTGACACTTGTCAGGAAGGCAACGAAAGCAACAGAAGGTGAGGTAATAAATTAAAAAGGAGATAGTGTTCATTAGTTTCATCAAGTATTGAACTTACACATCAAAGCTCAATAAACTAGTGCATATGCATATTTGGGATGTGCTTATTTTGCAGAGCAAATAAATAAATAAAGCATTTCAACCAAATACTATTTTTTAAAATAAGCTAATTCAAGCATGCAACTTAATCTAAATTTTCATTTCCATATTTGAGCTTCAATTAAAATAAAACAAGACAAACAAGGAATAGGATACTATGCCTGTTTTATCTGTTCTCTCCAATACCATTAGATTACGATATCAACCAACGGTGGGAGGAGAGAGAAAGGGTGAGAGGTCTTTGGAAAAAAAGTAGGCGAAGTAGCTATAATATCATATTCTCACAAATAAATATACTTCCATTTGATTATAAAAGTTTAAAAAAAAATCAAGTACCCAGACTCCCAGAGGTGAATATGTCAGTAACATCCCACAAATGCAAAAATTCAAATACTTAAATTAAATTCAACATTTTTTTTCAAAACAAAAATTACCCAAAATCCTTAGGCGTCAAGTAATTGCTTCTTCAAAGCTCAAAACTTCAAATTCAAAGCAGTTACCTTTGATTCGCTCTCATTCCGAGCAGATTCATCTCCCTGCTGCCTCCTCAAATCGTCGTTAGATTGCTTATCAGAATCTGCACCGATCAAAAAAACTGGGGTCAATGCTCATTCCCCAAAAAAAATTAAAAAAATAAATTAAAAATTCCAAAAAAAATATAAAAAAATATAAAAAAGGAACTCCATTTCCACGCAATGACGCATATACGAACGAGAATGAATGTGAAAACAACTCAAAACGCAAAAGGGTATCCGAAAAAGTAAAGAACCTCGGTCGGATTTGAAGTCCATGAGAACCTTCTCCGCTTTTGCAGCTGCAGAATGAAACGCGGTTCTCGCTTTGGACACGAAGGAAGGGTGATGAGCCTCCATTTATTGCGCCGTGGGTGCGCACGTTAAGCACGAGTGGACGCTTTCTCAGTTTATACACAGAGCTAAGAGAATAGCAGCAGAAGAAACAGAAAGAAGAAGAGTCACAAACAGATAGATAAATTAGATAGTGTGTTGTGTGTTGTGTGTTGTATTTGTAGTGTCAAAGAAACAGAACAAGTCCAACACAAAGATAAAGAAGACGAAGAAGAAGAAGAAGACCAGGTACAAGAATAAGAAGAAGCTGAAGATGATGAGCAAGTAGATGCTGATGCTACTTCCAATGGAGTATAAATATGTTCATAGAAGACATCAAACAAAGACAAAAGGATCTTAAATTCAGTGTTTTATGGTAAAAAAATAAAAGAAATAAAATTAAGGGATAGGAGTTTCACACACAAATAATGTTGCGCAGAATGTTACGATCACATCTTAATCGTTGATTTCCATCAATCAACGGTTATTATTTTTCAAATCAAACTCATTAATTAATTATTAATTTGCAAAAAATAATAACCATTGATTGACAGAAATCAACGATTAAGATGTGGTCGTAACATTATTTGTGTGTTACACTGTCCTATTCTTAAAATTAAATGTTTCTTTTTTGTTATTTTATACAAAGTATTAAATGTGTCATAAATGTGTATCCAATGTAATAAATATGATCCTATAAATAAAGAATTCCTTTTTACAAAGAATTTGTTTTAAGAAACTTTTTTTTTCCTCATCCCTTGTGAGTCATGATTAATTTAATTTTAATGTATTATTAAATTAAATTTTATATTTCAATTTAATAATATATTATTATATTATTTATTAAACTTAATTCACATTATTAATGTAATTAAATTTTCTAATTAGAATATTAACCCAATTTTATTATAGTAGTAAATATTTAATTGACTTTACATTAAAATTAAACTTTTAATAGTCTGCTCTCTTTTTTTGGTAAACAATAGTCTACTCTTTTTATATGTTCTTAAGAAATAATAATTTTTTATTGTACCATATTTAAATTTTTTATAATAATCATATAATTATATAAAAATTAAAATAATAATATCATGATTTCTTAACAATTAAAATTAATTAATTAAAAAAGAATGACTATAGTGTATGGGAATGGTTATATTTACAAACTTTTTGTTTACAAATTCTTACAAACTACACTATATTCTCCCGGAAGTACAAAGTGTAATTTGTAAAAATTTGTGAACGGATCCTTCCCCGTAGTGTATACATATTTAATCTTTGTACTCTTATTATTTTTTATTACAGTTAAATTATATTTAAATCAACAGTTGAAATAGAAAGAAACAATAAATATAATTAGTTGAGAAAAATAAGGAAGAGAAAAGCAAAATAAAAAATATTTTATTTGAGATCGTTGATTTAAATTAATTTATTCATTTGAAAAGCAAAATAAAAAAATAATATGGGTGCAAAGATTGAATAGATAGCTATTACAATGCCTGTGTGTATATAGGAATATGATTCTTTGACATCAGTGTCAAATTTAAAGTTTGACAGCTTATCTGATAGTTATTAGATTAAAAAAGATCAATGGTGTCACAATCTTACAAATTAATATTGGTGTCAAACTTTGAAATTTGATACCAAATTTTAACCGTTAATTTCTGTCAATAATTATCATTTATTGAAATTAATTAATAAGTTTAATTTCTAATAAATAATAATTGTTGATTATATATATATATATATATATATATATATATATATAGAGAAAAAAGTTTCCGATGTTACTTTAGATAACTTTATCTAATGTTCATCGAAACGACGTCGTTTTGCAGTTGAAAAATTAAAAAATTAAAGTGATAAAGACTATTATAACCCTGAAATAAATTAAAATTACAAAAATACCATGATTTATGTCCCAAAACGACGTCATTTTAATGAACATTAAATAAAGTTATCTAAAGTAATATAAAAAAAAACAAACTCATATATATATATATTATATATATATATATTTATATATATTATAATAATAATAAATTCTCTTTAAGTTTATTCATACGCACTCAAGTAATCTGAGCCATTTTTCCTTTGTAGATGTGGCATGCCAAAAGTCAAAACGTTAAGGGAACCATAAATGTAATAAATGACGTACTTCAATGAAGCAAAAATATCTATCTCATTTAGTTTAGATAATTGTTTTTTTAACGTAATTTAGATAACTGTTACAGTTGTATACTTGTACTCACCAGTAATAATATGATAATATTTTTTTTTTCTGTGATAAGTTTTATAGTATTTCAACTAATATTATTCTGATCACTGTATTGAATTTCCCCTTTGACTCGATTTCTTGGTCTCCCCTCAATTTCTATAAAATGAAATGGATACGTTTTGTTTAACCAGTTAACATTGTTGTCAACGATATTAAAATAAGTTAGGGAAAACTTCAAAAACTCCCCTACAAGTTTTCTCAAAATCACTTAATCCTCTCCCCAAAATTTGTAATCATTTATCTCCCTACTTAAAAAAATTTTATCACTTACCCCCTAATTTGATTTTCCATCTAAAATTTTGTTAACAGAGTTAATTTTTTTTAAAAATACCAAAATTACCCTGAATAGAAAAACATAATTTCTTCACCAACGCAATTTTAGACGAACTCACAGATTGTTTTCTTTAAGGTAGCCTTGTTAGAATTATTAATTATTAAAATTATTCCTACAAATTTCATTGCTATTAAACACCGCACTCATAATTGTTGGTGTCGTTGATAAAATAAAATGATTAAAAATTTCAGGGAGGGGGTTAAGTAATTTTGAGAAAATTTGTAAGAGTTTTTTTTGAAGTTTTTCCTTAAAAATATTACTTTTAAGCGGTGGCAAGTTTTTTTCGTTGTGATAATATTTGATATTGTGAATGATTTACATCTTAGGGAATTATTAGTGGACGATTCTATTGAGTATCATGTTGGTTTCTTTGTAATCAACTCGTTGATATTTTTAGCCCATGTATTTGAACAACGACACCACCAATTGTGAGTGCGGTGTTTAATAACAATGAAATTTGTAGGAAATAATTTTAATAATTACTAATTCTAACAAGACTACCTTAAAGAAAACATTCCGTGAGTTCGTCTAAAATTGTGTTGGTGAAGAAATTATATTTTTCTTGTTTCTAGTAAGGGTAATTTTGGTATTTTTTAAAAAAATTAACTCTATTAACAAAATTTTGGATGAAAAATCAAATTAGGGAGTAAGTGATAAAACAAATTTAAATAGGAAGGTAAATTATTAAAAATTTCGGAAAGGGGGTTAAGAGATTTTGAGGAAACTTGTAAGGGAGTTTATGAAGTTTTCCCAATAAGTTACAGAGTTGGGTTAAAACTTACTAGCCAATAGATACGCAGCCTTCAACGCATTAGAATTACCTAAACAACAGCACGTAAATGGATCATACCTATAAATATTTTTTATTTTTTTAAAAATTATTCAATCAGTTCATTGTTTCGCAATTAAAAATTTAGTCTATAGATATAATTTAATCTATTATAAAAAAAATAGGCCTATACAATTTTTAGGCTTAAAAAATTGCAAAACAAACTACAATTTAAAAAAAAAATCTCATTCATTAAACATAATTTCCAACAAGAATCTAAATTATGAAAATTTTCAAATAGATTTTTAACAAGATCAAAAATAGTTATTTCTAGGAGTTTTTTCTTTGCTCTTGACAATCTTCATAAATTTTTTATTTTATTTAAAAAAATTAAAATGTCAGCTTGCAAGCTTTTAGGCGAAGACATTTTAGAGTGAGTCTATGACTAAATCCAATTTATTTTCTAAATAGATTAGGTTATATTAAACCTGATGCAAGCCAGACTCTTTTAGGTCCCAAATTATTCAATAGTATATTTAAATGAATTAACTTTTAGTGTTAAGAAATTTATATTCTAATAAATTTAACGAGTTATGTATTATTAAACTTATTAAGTAATGCAATAACATAAAATTAAATAATAATATATCTTTCTGACTGAAAATATATAATAAATTAAAATCTAATTAAATGGCCTTTCATACGTTTCTTTTTGGTTGTCTCTCTCAGTATTATTTTTAAAAAAATATATTTAAATATGGAATATATTTAAAATAAAATAAATAATAACTGATCATAAATGAAAAAACATTTAAATTTAAAATTTTATAAAAACTTAAATTCCAATAATAGACCAATCAGAATCTACCTCCTAAAAGTTTTGTATATATCTAATAACTTAATTGCATTTTATTCGTGTTCTTAGAAAAGTCAAACAATATTATGTAACCCATAAACCCACATTCCAAATCAATTATATCATAGCAAAAAAAATAATTTATTGTTTTTTAAATAAAAAATTATGAATTTATGGTTGTTTTGGAAATAATTACACATTTAATGCTCAATATCACGCACAATTTGGACGTCACCAATCACGCCTAATTTAGGCGTTACTCGATAGGCAGTCACGCTTAATTTAAGCTTCATTCATCAGGTGTTGACATGTGTCACATTTTTTTTCAAAAAAAAATTAATTTAATCGTAAAACTTCTGAAGGCCATAAGTATTGATTCGGGTATCCGAATCAGATAATTTTTTTTGATTCCACATAACTTTTTGAGATCTACGTAATAACACCTTATTTGACATATTTTATCTCTCACAAACATAATTTAAATTTGCAACAATGAGACTTTATCTTATAATCGTTAGATTGTGACCCAATAAATTAATAATTAATTAATAAGTGTGACCCAATAAATTATAATCGTTAGATTGACGAAAATTAACGGTTAAGATTTAGTAGTAACAAGTAATAAAAAAAATGTAGTAATTATAATATTTCCCTTATTTATTTCTATAACAGCGGGAGACAATGTAGTTTAATATAAAATAAAAAGAAAAGTAATATGACAATAACATGCCCCTAAACAATACGATAATATAATTTGATTAAACTCCCAAATTCTAATAGTGTGTTAAATTAATAAAAAATAAATAAGAGAATATAATAAAAATAGTAAAAAGATCAGTATAAACTTTCGTCATAATTCAAATTGCCATCATTAATTTCAAACCATGACTTCTAAAATAAAGTTTCATTGTTGCAAATTCAAATTGTGTTTGTGAGAGATAAAATATGCCAAATGAGGTGTCATTGTGTAGATCTCGAAAAGTTATGTGAAATCAAAAAAATTACTTGATTCGGATACCCGAGTCAAAAGT